CTGGAGGGCACATAAGTCAGAAGTAGTGAATTTAGGTAAAGTGGTGCAGATCCATTGGTTGTTTTGTAGGCAAACATCAATGCCATGAATTTTATGCGAGCAGCTATTGGTAGCCAGTGCAAGTTGATGAACAGAGGTGTGACATGAGTTCTTTTCGGCTCGTTAAAAACTACTCTTGCTGCCGCATTCTTGATTAGTTACAGAAGTTTGATAGAACTGGCTGGAAGACCTGCCGAGAGAGCGTTGCAATAATCCAGCCTGGACAAAAAAAGAGCTTGATCAAGGAGTTGTGTAGCATGTCCTGATAGAAAGGGCATGGTCTTCCTAATGATAACGAATCTGCAGGACCGGGCAGTTTTAGCAATGTGGTCTGTGAAATTCAGGATGGAATGAGAGGTAGAGTTGAGTGTCATCAGCATAGCAGTGATATGAAAAGCCATGTTTCTGAATGACAGAACCTAGTGATGCCATGTAGATAGAGAAGTGGTCCAAGAACTGAGCCCTGAGGCACCCCAGTAGCTAGATGTTGTAACTTGGACACCTCACCCTTCCAAGATACCTTGAAGGACCTATCTGAGAGGTAAGACTCGATTCACTGGAGTGCAGTTCCTGAGATGCCCTTTGCCATGAGGTTTGACAGGAGGATCTGGTGGTTAACTGTGTCAAAAGCACCGTGCTGGACAGATCCAGCAAGATAAGTATTGAAGATTTGGAAGCCGCTCTTGCCAGTCTTAGGGCTTCAGCAACCAAGAGCAGGGCAGTCTCGATTGAATGTCCAATTCTGAAGCCAGACTGGTTGCTGTCCAGAAGGTTGTTCTGTGTGAGAAAGCCCGAGACTTGGTTGAACCCAACTCGTTCAAGTGTTTTTACAATGAAGGTAAGAAGGGATATTGATTTGTAGTTTTCTAAAAGTGCTGGGTTAAGAGTGGGTTTTTTAAGTAGTGATCCGAGGTTGTTTATGATTAAGAGGTTATCCGACCTTGTTTAAATGCTGAGGGAAAGACCCCAGTGTTGAAGGGATGTGTTAATGATGTGAGTGAGTGCAGGTACAACTGAAGGAGAAATGGCTTGAAGGAGATGAGATGGAATAGGATCAAGCGGACAAGTAGTAGGATGATTGGAAAGGATGAGTTTGGAGACTTTCTGCCTCTGAGAGCAGAGAGAAAGACATGAGCAAGTGTATGTTTGCTGGTAAGATGTGTTTGACAGTTTGTGATGTGGAGAATTTTTTTAAGCAAGGACACATTAAATTGGTCAAAAGTGACAGTAAAGACATTTATAACGGTACAAAAGATTTCTATTTCAAATAAATGGATTCATCAAAGAATCCTGAAAAAAAAAGAATATATCAGTTTCCACAAAATTATTTGGCAGCACAGCTGTATAAGAAATTTTACTTGAGCACCAAATATGAGCATATTAGATTGATTTATGAAGGATGATGTGGCACTGAAGACTGGAGTAATTGCTGCTGAAAATTCAGCTTTGCCATCACAGGAATACATTCTTAAAGGAAATAAAGTCAAATTAAAAACTGTTATTTTAAAATGTAAAAATAACTGTATTTTGATCAAACAAATAAAGCCCTTGTAAGCATAATAGACTTAATTTTTACATTCTTATCATTTAAAAATGTTTGCACATGCCAAACTTCAAACTTTTGAATAATAGCATATAAATGTATCATTAATTATTAATTCATTAATATTATTGTGTTTTTATGGAGTAACACCACATGACACTGTAAAACCTGAACTGAAAAGGCCAAATTATCAGATATTTAAAAGACTTATTAGCCCAAACACACAGTAATGATGGTCTGCATGGGCCCTCTCTTTGATATAATTTCCTGTATATATTTTTTCTGCTTGTTGGTTGAACCCCATAACAATGATTTGCTGGATTTTTTCCAAATACTTTTAACAGTCTGTATATTACTATTGAGCACACCTGGTTTTCATATGTCTCCTCTTGGTAGCGGATGGGCACATCACTGGCATGGACGTACAGATAGATTTGGTGGTCACAGGCAATGCTCCAGCAGCACTGCTGTATAGCCGTAACACGCTTGAACTCCAAGTGGGCATCGCGACAATGCTCCCACTGCTGTCCCGCTGTCGAAAGGCTATAAACCCTCCCGTACACATCAACAGCCCACAGGAGGGAGCTCGGCATGATGCACCCTGCTGCAAAAGACAAAACACAGAAATCTGCAGATAAACAAACACCTCAGCATCAGTTTATGGCTACAAAAAGTGTTTAGAAGCAAACAAGGACACAAAGTGAATTGCTCTCAAATGAAGCAGAATTTCCTGCCTACTCTTTTCTCTGCTTTGATAGCAGATCTGCAGTCAGCTGATTCTCATTACTGTTCCTCATGTTGCCAAAACAGTGCTGACCTGTTGACAACTGCTATTTTGTTGCCTTCTAAGCTATAACTGAAACCCATGATCTCAGCAATACACCAAAAAGCTCCAAATAAATCACAGACTACCCTTACAAAACACTACTGTGGTGGTACCATGTTTAAGCATGTTACAGTATGAGATTATAATGCCATGGTACTGAATGATTACTATATTTAAAGGGGTCATATGATGCGATTTCAATTTTTCCTTTCTCTTTGAAGTGATACAAGCTCTTGGTGCATAAAGAAGATCTGTAAAGTTGCAAAGACTAAAGTCTCAATGCCTCCGATCACTCTAGCCCGCCGCCGCTCACTCAAGCCCACCGGCCGCACCGTTCTCTAGCCCGCCGGCCGTTCCTCACTCTAGCCCGCTGTGTGTTTCGTTGTGAAAGTGAAACTACTTTGTTTGGCCTTCCAAAAGAGGACTAGAAATCAGTGGTTAAGTTGTATTTACAACACCGTTCCAGAACAGTTCAACCCAAATATTCAGATGTGTGCAGCACATTTTATGGAGGACTGTTTCCTGATCCTGGTAGAGTAGACTACAATTCCGGCTGTTCTGACTCACAGACTGAAATTACGTTTTTTTTATATTAAAGAATTTGTCACTGACAATTCAAACGCGAGTTTTGAGCAGTGTAGAGTAGCGCTTGTTGTTTGTAATTTCTCCGATCACAAATGCAGACATGGTTTTATGTTTACACGGCACGATGCAATGCGTAAAAAGACAGTATATGTCATTATAATCCGTAATTATGTCCCCACTGGATGCAACAAATGCCTCGTTTATAATGGGTTTTAATGTTTTTGTCTTGTCGCTCTGGCCGGACAGGGCATCACAATATGGTAACATTTCCGTTACACACTTGAGGTATTCGGCCAATCACAACGCACTGGATAGCTGGCCAATCAGAGCACACCTTGCTTTTCAGACCGATGAGCTTTGTAAAAATCGACGCATTTCATTAAGGCGGGGCATAGAGGAGAGACAATAATGTACAGTATGTGGAAAATAATGTGTTTTTTGAACCTGAAACCGCATAAACACATTTCATTACAGCAAATACACAAAATAATGTTCTTTTTAGCAACATCATATGACCCCTTTAATTACTATTATCAACATAGCAGCACTGCAAGGTACTTCACAAAATGCCATCATATTAATAGTTTGAGTAAGTAAGTAGTAATTACTATGGCAGATACTATGGTAAAAATAAAAATTGGGAGTAACGTACCATTTATGTAAAAACAAACAAACAAAAAAACAAAAACATAAAAAACAATACTGGTAATACCGTTGTATTTTTTTGTACCTTTTTTATTAGTGAAGTTCAAAATGTTAAAAACGTTACTAAAGCAACATATATATTTTGAGAATGCATGTTGTTGTTGTTGAACGCTTGTGTGTTGAAGCAGGTAATGCCGGATAGCACGCTAGCTAGCAATGACAGCACATAAGAAATACGCCTGTAACGTTAGAGTACTTGACAATAGCTTGTTATCTGCAAAAAACTGGAATACGACTATGATACAGTAAGAAGAGAAACATTTTGAAATGAATGACTGCAGCTGCCTGTCTTCCGCAGTGACAGGTGCATGTCCATTACAACAGGAAGGTAAAAATCATGGCAGTTTATGCATCCTCAGTAACTTATAGATATATATCAACTGTAGCCAGCGTTACTTACATACCTAATCTGTGTCAAGGTTGTAAGCACTAGCTTATGTTGTCATTTTGAGACTATTCGGCTTTGCGAAATCTTGTGAATTGCACGATATTGACAACACAGAGATCTCAAACAGGAAGTTGCAGGATTGCTGCATTGGCAGCAATAGCTTATCGGCCCGGCAAGGGGCGCCAATAACTCATTAAAACCATAGACTGTATAAAGGTTAAAACATAATGTGATGGTAGAGGTTGTTACTATGGTGCCCCCACACACCCCATCTTCATATTTTCTTTCCGTTAAACCTCTAATGTTAACACGAATATATATTATTAGCACTTCTGTTACATTATATTATTATTATTACTATTAAAATCTCTCTTTCCATCTCTCTATATATAAATACACCCTCAAATAACAATTAATTTTAAACATTAAAGAGAGAAAAAAACATTCCAAAATCGAAGCATTTTGCAACATTCCTTTTTTTCCAAAAGTGTGGAGGTCTTAAAACTTTAAACTTTTTTGCACTGAGCACCACCCATATAGGATAATTACTTTTGTTGCACCATTCTGTAGTCGTGTACTGTATCTTTAAACGGAAGACTATGGATTGCTTAATAAAATCTGTCAGAGACTATGTTCCTGTTATATTGTGATTATATTAACTGCATTCTCATGCCTTTTTGGTGAAGTTTTGAGGTAAAAGAGAAAAATACAAAACATCAAAGTGTGGATATTTTTCTGTAGGTGAAGGTCTGATTAAGAGAAACATCCAATGTGTTAGAAAATTAAAAATTCATAATCAGGACAGAATAATTATTCACCTTTATTCTTCAAGGAACAGGACAACTAAGCTACTACTGAGAATAGTATTATCAGAGAAAATATAACAGAACAATGGTAAAATAATATCCAACACATTTCAAATAGACATATATATCTTTATTTCGGAGTAATGTGGTATGAAAAGAAAAGGGGCAATGAATCAATAAAACAACACAAAAAGAAAAAAAGTATGAAAGAATACACCGTTTCCCCTACATGATAACATGCTTGCAAAGGCATAACATGTACACAACTTTACAAGACTTCATTAAAAAAAAAAAAAAAAATCTTGTATTTAGCTAGGACCCAAGGATTTCTCTTACATAGTGAAGAATGCTCATGAGTTTGATCTGATGTCCAGTTAAAGCCAAAAAAGCCAACATTCAACTGTGCAGCTAGTAAGAATGTTATCACCACACATTGCACTCATCTTTAACATGAGGAATAAACAATTCAACTAAGTGTCTTTACATGGTCCTCCTTTAAACATGAAAAAGGTGTTAAGGATAAGGAATACATCAGCGTTTTAAAACAATGAAACTATGATACTGTATAACAAAAAAAGGCTACATTTAATCCATACTAACCCAGAACACTTTGGCAACTGGCAAACCTCACACTACTTCACTGGATTTTGAAATGAAATATGATCTGGTTATGCGACATGTTTCTAAATAGGGGCTGCAGTACTCAAACCTTAAAATATACATTTGTGATTTTGGTTTACCTTTAAAGGCCCCAGACACAGAGGACCAATATGGTCAGAAAATAGCTATTCAAGAGCCTGTTTGGTGCTGTGCATTCTCTTGGAAACTCAAGTGTATGAATCCAGTTACAATTTAAATAATTTAATCAAAGTCTAAAATTCTTATAAATAATGCCTCCTGTACATTTTAATCTGCTGGTTTTCATTTTTAGAAACTTTAAGGATTAAAATTGATGATGTAACAGAACCCTTTCATTTGGTTCCTCTGCCATATCTGCAATGCATCAATATAGGCAAAACCTCTGAGACACAACATCACATCAGGGCAGGGGCGGCATGCAGTCTCATCATATGTTTGGTGCAGATCTGTCATTTGTCATGGTGGGCCGTAGTTTGACTGTGGCAAATGGATTCCCACCCCTGATGAGGGAAACAGGCATTGTGATTGCAGAGAACGGGTTAAATGCTAGTGCACTGTAGTAATACTGGTAATTAATTCTGTAAACATATACTCACCCAAGGAATGGCGGCACTGAGTGACCATTTGGCAAAGACGCCTGTTGCAAACACAAAAATAAGAATAAAAAGTGATCAGCATAAACTGTGCTTCCATTCTTTAGAACTTAAAGTGCAGAGTGGGTTTTCCCCGTCAGACTGGTTCGATTAGGATGTCAACACATGATTCTGTCACTTCACCAGCTGACTAAGTACCTGGAACAATCGCAGTGTCCTATGACCTCATCATATACGTCAGGAACCTTGATAATCTTGAAACGCTTGCTTTCGCTGTCTGAGCGTTGAAATTCTAATCACTTCAAGGGACTATGAACTGTAAACAGTCAAGGAACATACATGTTTCTTTATATACAGTATCTCACAGAAGTGAATACACCCCTCACATTTTTGTAAATATTTTATTATATCTTTTCATGTGACAACACTGAAGAAATGACACTTTTCTACAATGTAAAGTAGTGAGTGTACAGCTTGTATAACAGTGTAAATTTGCTGTCCGCTCAAAATAACTCAATCACCACTTTACATTGTAGCAAAGTGTCATTTCTTCAGTGTTGTCACATGAAAAGATATAATAAAATATTTACAAAAATGTGAGGGGTGTACTCACTTCTGTGAGATACTGTATGAGAGAAGGGTTTACTGGGAGTATTCTAGAGTTAAAATCTGACCAAGGCAGGCCTTATTTCATATTAAAGGAGTAGGCTATTCAAAAATGAACATTCTGTCATTATTTACTCACTCATGTCATTCCAAATTTTAACTACAGTTTATAGTCACAAAACAAAAACACCATAAAAGTACTCTATATGACTATTTTTTTTCTGAACAACAATAAATTATGACCACAGGCTCTCAAGCTCTAAGAAAAAGAATCCCCTTAAAAACTAAAACACGTCGGTGCCAATAGCCTTATGTGCAGCGCACCGAGTCCCGGCTCGTGGACCTTTCCTGATCCCGCCCCCTCTCTCTCTCTCTCTCTCCCATTTTGTTTCTTGTAATTACTCTACTGCCCTATCAAAATAAAGGCAAAAACGCCAAAAATAAATCTAAAAAAAAAAACCACACACATACAAAAAAAGCACACACTATAAAAGTACTTCATGTGACTCCCCCCTAACCTCCCAAAAATACTCCACATGACTCATTTTGTAAGTCATAGCATGATTTAAGGAATAAAATGGCAGACAATTAAATAAGAGTTCTTGTCTTACAGAAAGTCGCATGAAGATTTTTGTGTTCCACAGCAAAAAGGTAAAGGCATATAGGTTTGGAATGACGTGACATTGAGTAAATGACAGAATTCCTATTTTTGGGTAAACTATCCCTTAAAATGCTCATCAAAAGACAGACTTTGGTCATCAGACCTGCCACAACAGTCCACGTGTGTTTACCAGAGTCACCAGCCCACCATCATATGATTACATTCAAGGTGAATTAGCTATGCCCTGAGGCAGTACATGTGGCTTGAGGTCATTCAGGAGAGGGAGCCAGATACTAGGGGTGGGCGATATGAGCTAAAATTCATATCACGATATTTTACACTGTCCAGGCGATATTTATATTATATTGCGATATGAGAAAAAAAAACATTACAGGCAAAATATTTTAACCTTATATAACTAGTGAGGGATTGGACATAGACCTGAAAAGCCTTTTTTTTATTGTGCCATTGTTTTTCCACTGTTTGCGTGTTTGAGTAGGCCAGTGGTTCCCAAACTTTTTCTGCCGGGCCTCCCTTTTGTAGAGAAAAATATTTTCAAGCCCCACCCCCTCTTTTTTATTTTATTTTTTATTTAGTTATAAGATTAAAGTCTCTTATGCTCACCAAGGCTACATTTTTTTTTTTTTTTAAACACAGTAAACAAGATCACGTGTCCCACCGTTAGCACTGGCGGTGTAGTTCGATTGCTCCCTGACTCGGTATCCTTAATCAGTTTTTTCTCAGGAAAACTATCAACATTTGGTTAGTTTTGGACTGTTCTAACGGAGCTACAAAAGCAGTGGACTCCCTTCAGGAAAAGTTGGCGAGAATCGAAGACAAAAGCCGCCAGTCCAATATCCGTCTAGTGGGGCTGAAAGAGGGGGTAGAAGGAGATGACCCTCTGGGATTTATACAGAATCATCTTCCTAAATGGATTCCCTCTCTTGCTGGCAAAGTAGTGGAGATAGAAAGAACCCACCGTATTTATAGCGGTGAACGTTCGAAATCAACCCCTCGTACGCTCATCTTCAAGATGCTGCGTTATCCAGACCGGAATGCAATCCTGAATGGAGCCTGAACCGCTGGACAAATTCTTCATATGGGAGCGCCGCTGCTTTTCTTCTCAGACTATAGTACCCACACGGCATCTAAGAGGAGAGAGATGGCATTGGCGAGGAGGAAGCTAACTTAGCTGGGGATATCATCCTTTTTGGTCTACCCCGTGGTAGTGAAAGTTACTCACCGAGGGAAGATTTCTCTTCTCGAGACACCGGCGGAGGTTGAAAAGTTCGCTCTCAATCTGGATCCCGCCACAAAGTCTTCTCTGAATAAAGCTGTAGCGGTTACGTTTCGAGAATCCGAGGTGAACGAGGATGAATCTGCAGTTCCTATGAAGGACCTTGCTAAGAAAATTTGATTGTCTCTTCATCTGAAAAATGACTGGGTCAGATGTTGACGGACGAGCCGGACTGCTAGGTTGGCCGCGTATCCAAAGACTTTGAGAGCAGGTAGAAGAGTGTGTTCTAACTCTTTGCTTACTGCCCATTTTGTTAATGTTCTTGTTTTTGTTTTTTTGTTCTATGCCCGGGACTGCCCACGTAAGTTTTTCGGTCTAGTGTAGGCCTATATATTTGTTTGCCTAGATGCCTTTGTATATGCATATGTTCTTATCACCGTTATCTTTCCGGGGGATTACTTTATGGTCCTCCCGCATTAGTTCTGGTTGAAGTGGAGTGCTTTTTCTTTTTAATATATGGCTATAAATATTTTATCATGGAACGTTAATGGGTTAAATAGCCCTATTAAGCGAACCAAATGCTTAGATTACCTACGATGCAAAAAGGTCTCTATTGCCCTTATACAAGAGTCTCATTTGAAATCAGCGGACGTGCATCGCTTCCAAAATAAATACTTTAAAGTGATCTCTTCCTCTTCAGCTGTCAACAAAACTAAAGGGGTGCTGATAGTGTCTAAGCGTAATATTGGTTTTTCAATTATAAGATCCGGTAATGATACAGAAGGCCGAATCACTTGTTGTTTCCCTAAATAATACTAAATATGTTTTTATGTCTGTATATGCACCCACTGAGGGTGATTCCTCATTTTTTCAAGAATTATTACATTTAGTTGTGAGTTTAGAGCAGTGTTTCCCAACCGGGGTGCCGTCTCTCGAGAGCAGGGGTGCCGTGTAAAAAAATCATGTTTTAATATTTTAAAATTGCTAAAATGTTAAAAAAAAGCATCTATTATATAATATCCATTTCTGATGTCGCCAATAATTAGAGATGCACCGAAATTTCGGCTGCCGAAAATTAGTTCACCGCTCAGGTTTCATTTTCACGTTGTGTGACGCTCTGCGTATAATCCCGCTCTATGCGTGTGTGTGCTCCGCTCAGTCGCTCCACTCGTATACCGTTCATGCGAATGGGAACAGCAAAGTCCACTCAAAAATTGAGCCGACAGGAAACATCGATGTAGTACAGATCCTCCCCATGTTGAATCATCTGTGGCTAATCATTTGCACCCAAGTCGCAGGGCAGCACTCTCTTCAACCGGAGCCTCACTGCCAGGGAAAACGGAGCGCTTCGCCGCCTCTGTTTTTCAAAAGATCTATAAATCATCTGCACTGGCCGTTCGTGCTTTGAACGCAACGTCCCTCCTTACTGCCTATCAAGCGGAGTTATTTGAGGAGATGGGGCGTCAGCTGGACTCCAGATCTCCCAACCCAGCGCTCTGGGAGGAAATGTGTCATCGCAGATTTAAACCTGTGCACGTCCCGCATAGCAGTTCAAATCTGCAGTCGGAGTATGGGCTTACCGGTTGTGGGAGAGAGAGAGATCGCTATGGCTGGGTTTGTCAGGCCTCTCTGACAAAGAGAAGGTGGAGTTTTTGGATGCCCCTATTGATGCCTGGTGGCGCCACTGGATAGCCCTCGGTGGACGGCCCGACAGTCCTCCGCCGCCCGGTGGACGGCGACGGCTCCTCCGGGTTCGGGCAGCAGGCAGGAGTCCCCCGTTCCCTGCTCCGCACTGGCCGTTTGTGCTTTGAACGCAACGTCCCTCCTTACTGCCTATCAAGCAGAGTTATTTGAGGAGATGGGGCGTCAGCTGGACTCCAGATCTCCCAACCCAGCGCTCTGGGAGGAAATGTGTCATCGCAGATTTAAACCTGTGCACGTCCCGCATAGCAGTTCAAATCTGCAGTCGGAGTATGGGCTTACCGGTTGTGGGAGAGAGAGAGATCGCTATGGCTGGGTTTGTCAGGCCTCTCTGACAAAGAGAAGGTGGAGTTTTTAGATGCCCCTATTGATGCCTGGTGGCGCCACTGGATAGCCCTCGGTGGACGGCCCGACAGTCCTCCGCCGCCCGGTGGACGGCGACGGCTCCTCCGGGTTCGGGCAGCAGGCAGGAGTCCCCCGTTCCCTGCTCCTCCCCATCATGGCGGACGGCAGCAGGCTCCGGCCTCAGGCGAACGGCGGCGACTCCTCCTCTCCCTCACGTCCCTCCACAGTCCAGGCAGCCAGCAGCGAGTTCGTCCGACCCCCAGGCAACTCATTCCAGCCCACCGCCTCGAGCGTCCATGGCTGCAGACTGCCCTGGCGAGGGATCTCTGGCAGTGTGTCCCTCCTTCCTCCCGGGTTTCGGCACCAATGTAACGCAGTTTGTAGTTTGGGAAGAAGGAGGCGGGAACCGGCGAACATTCAAACATAATATAACAATAAAATAAACAAACACAAAATAAAGTCCAGGCCTGGTCCTCTCTCGTCTTGCACTGTCGTCACTCCTCCTTTTATCCTTCCAGAGCTCCTCCGTGGGACTCTGTGAGTGGCGCAGGTAT